AATATTATTCATGCCGACTATGTGCAGACACTATGTGACAAACTACAAATACCCCATGCACCAGGCAGAATCCCTGCTTTCAAGGAACTGTTAGTAATGGGAAACACAGATACAAATAAAAGGATGGGAGTACAGAGTGTATTGAGAACAAATAGAATGGAGTAGGTGGGCGCGGTACACGGCATCTAAATCTGGCCTTAAGAGATCACAGAAAGCTTCCTGGAGGAAGTGACATCTGAGAAGAGTCCTAAAGAAAGAGTAAGTTAGCTGGACTGGAAGAACCAAGAAAAGGCAATGCAGGCAGACAGCACAGCAAAGAGGCCTAAGGCCAAAGAGATAAAGTGATAAAGTAAGAGAATTCAAATAGTTCAACAGAGGTCTAATACTGCCTGGGGCCAGGGCAGCAGCAAAAGTTGGAGCTGAAAATGCAAGTAAGCAGAGGCTGGACCAAAAAGGGATGTCATGCTCACATTTACACTTTATCATGAAGGTAATGGGAAACTCTTGACTTTCTAGGAACTCAAGCAGGGGTGGTTTGCTCACTCAGTCATGTCCGACTCTTACGACCCCATAGACTGTAGCCCACCAGGTTTCTCTGTCCATGGGATTTCCCAGGCAAGAATACTAGAGGAACTTAAGCAGAGAAGTGACCCGTTCAAACTTTCACTTTAGAAAAAAATTACTATGGTTGCCATGTAGAAACGAATTGAAGGAGGAAGAGGCAGAGCAGACGCAGGAAACCCAGACAGAAGGCTGCTTCCAGGATCCATAGCAGAGGTGAAGGCAGCTTGAACTAAGGTAGTGATAGGAAATGCGGAGAGACAGGGTGGATTAGGGAAGCAGAACAGACAACACTTCATGGTTAGTAGGATGAGGTGACTGGGAGGAAGGGAGGGTGAATGCCATGGAGGTGACCTATTCTATCTGAGTCTGGAGCTTGAGTCATGCATTTATTTGAGACTCCTCCAAGCAGAGGTGGTAACTGAAACATCAGATTAGATGGCTCACCGAGGTCAGTGTATAACGTGGGAAGAGAAAGAAATGGCCATAAAAAGAATGGGAAGGAGAGGTAGGAAACCAATGAAGAAAGGATGATGTCATCATAGACACCAAGGGAAGGAGAATGGCGTCTGCAGGGAGCACAGTTAAGGCCCAGACACAACCACATGGTTCGTCAACAAGATGGTCATTGGAAATCTTAGCGAAGCAGTTGCATAGTGAGGCATGAGTGAGACTATAATGACTGATGGAAGGATAGAAAGTGAGGATGGGTCTCAAAAAGCCTGGCATTAAAGGAAAGCAGAGAATGGGGGAGGTGGGAGTGGGGTCAGGTTCCAGATCAGAGACCCAATTCCCTGCTTTCTTACTGAGTCCTCTCCCTCCCTAATCCTGCCCACCGGTTCTGCTGATAAATGCTAGAGGAGAGGACTTCCCTGGTGGTCCGGTGGTTAAGAATCCTCCTGACAGTGCAGGGGACCCAGGTTCGATCCCTGGCCTGGGAAGACTCCACGTGCAGCGGGGCAATCAAGCCCATGCACTGCAACTACTGAAGCCCACACGCTCTAGAGCCCACGCTCTTCAACAAGAGAAGCCACCACAATGAGAAGCTCACAGACCATAACTAGAGAGTATCCCCCACTCACCGCAACTGGAGAAAGCTCTCGAGCAGCAACGAAGACCCAGGGCAGCCAAAAATAAATAAAATTTTTTAAATTTTTAAATATTATAGGAAAACAGATGGCTGTAATAGAAATAGTTAAGAAATCTCACTAAGTTCATATTACCATTCCCCTGTTTTATGGTACTAAAATCACCTAAAGAAGCCCCTCATGGGCTTCATTCCTGATGGCATTTTCTGCTTGGCTGGCAGCCATCAGGGCAGAACTAGTATTCATCTCCATTAGCATCTATGTAGGAGACCATCTGTCTCAAGTGGATTATTAGTATTCCTGAGACCACCCAAATGGGTCAGTGAGTCCCTTTTGGATACTTCCTCAACTTCAAGATCATTTATTTGATTAATTCCCAGGGCGCAGGCACTGTTCCAGGAATTGAGGATTAAAAAGTGAGTAAATCATTTTACTTACTGGGTAATCATCCTAAGTGGACTTTTCAGGAGGTTCACCTGAAGTTTCTGGACTTTCCAGGTACCTCCAAGGGTATGAACCTAGGTTTTCCCTAAGAGGGTTTGCAGTGGGTTGAAATAGGTCATAAAAGCCTTTATTTTCCACCAAGGAACTCAGGATTATTACCACAGTTGGATACTAGGAGAAACTGATTTATAGAGCACTTTTTATAAACAGTGCACTTTCATTCATTCATTCATTCATTCAATCAATAAACATTCATAGAACACACCTACTGTGTACCAGGTACTGTGTTGAGATATTGGAGATAAGAATCATGAGCAAAATAGAGGTGAGTTCTGTCCTCATGGAGCATACAAAAGGCTTGTGAAAAGCCACACTAATCAAAATAACTGCTCAAGTGTATAATTACAAATCATAACACATGCTACGAAGGCAAAACATTAGAACTTACTCTGTTGGGCTAAGGAAACTTTCCTGATAAGGTGGCATTGAGATAAGGTCTGAGGATTGAAAGAGGTAGAGGGTTGAAAGAACAGTCCAAGAACACACAGTAACATTAGTGAAGACTCTGAGGAACAGAAAAGCGGCCATCACTGAAGAAAAAAATTAACTCTGACACTTGTTAAAATGGTAGAGAAGACTTCCCTCAGGACTACTAGGAAAGTGTCAAGGCTACGGCAACAGGGAAGAGAGATCAGTTTCAACTCCAAAATCAAACGGAGGAAAAGGGATTTATAGCCCCAAAGCAGAGTGAGGGACTCAGTGGTTAGAAAATCACTAAGCAGAGACATCAAGGATGGGGGATTCTTGCTAAACTGACTTAACAGGATTCCTGCTGAAGGCAGGCCAAGGACTAAAGATCAAAGGTGAAGGATGAAGCATTTCATCAGATACGAAGGATATGGACTCACTTAGCAGGATTCTTGCTAAAACTGGGCTGTGCAGGCCCAGCATGGCCAAAGGGTGAGAGTGAGTGACCAATGTCAAGACTTAAACTAAAGCCTGACCAAAGTTTGCTCAAGGAGAGTTTTTGTCCCCAGTTGTCCAGGGCATAGAGAGCAATGAGGATTCTAGATGATTCATCTAGAATGTGTAATTATACACATTATATATCTAGAGGATCTAGATGATTCTGGAGAGAGAAGCAGAAGCCAAGTAATGAGGGCTTTGTGAACAGAGCTATCCTAAGATCACTGAATAGTTTTCATTGAGAGGAAGGGTTGTGACATGATCAGATTATGTTTTCCTAAGATCTGCACAGCATGCTGTGTGGAGAATGGACTGGAGGGGGCAAGAATGAAGGCTAGAAGACCACATAGAAGACTGCCACTGCCCTGAAGAAACAAGGTGATGGACAGACCAAGATGGTGATGGAGGTAGGAATAGAAGTTATGAAGTTGAAGTATTCAGGAGGAAAAATTGACAGGTCTTTAAAAAAAAATTTGACAGGTCTTGGTGATAGATAGGTGGCAAGGAGAAAAATTATCAATAAAACTCCCGTTATCTGGCTTCTTCTTTACTACAACCCTGTGAAACACAATATTATTTCTCAATTTATAATAAGGGATTTGAAACTCAAAGTAGTTAATGACATGCCCAGGCCACACAGCTAGTGTGTCTGGCTCTCAAGTTATTCACTTTCCACAATGCTACCCGGGAGTCAACCTTGTGGAAGGTTCTACTCCCTTTTGTGCCTTGAAAGCTACACCTAGTTAGTACCTTGAGCATCATACTTCACTCACAACATTCCCTATTTGCCTAAGCAGTAGGAAAATAAATGAAATATTATCACAGAAGCTGCTGCAGTTTGAATCAGTTGACCTCCAAGGACAGTACAAATAGATTCCTCTGTTAGAGAAAATATCTTCATGGGCTTATCTGACTATGAAAATTGAGGGTCCCCTGGATAGAACTGAGATGAGAAAGGCTTGCAGTAAGTAATTAAATCACTCTGCATAAGAAAGAAGAATTTTACAGCAGGTAGTTTGGCCATCATTGTAACCTTAGCACCTGGCATACCAGAGCCAGTGTATATTTTTGTCGACACTCTTTTGAGTTAGGGCCCAGCAATCTGTGATTTATCAAGACCCTCAGGTATTTCTGATATACGTTCAAATCTGAGAACCTCAAATCTTTAAAAACCTTTTTAACACTGCCCATACCATACAAGGCCCCCAAATCCTCAGTGAACAGCTGCTGCACACAACAATCTTTTGTTAGTAATGCTTTGGACAACAAAGGACAGCCATTCCAGACTTTCTGACAATGATCAGCAGCAAGGAAAGTCCGGGCCAAGGTTAGAGAATCAGCTGCAGCTCAAAAGGTCCCAAGAGCAAATGTGAGACAAATGCTCAAATGTGTAATAAACACGATTTGCTTCTGAAATATTCATGCCCATTTTTTTTGGTAATAAATGGATGAATGAATGCATGTTCGCCTGTGGTTATAGCTTTCCCCCACACTTAATGCATGGTTCTATACATAGCACATCTAGCCAACCAAAGCAGCACATGCCCTGCCCACAGTGATCGGATTCAGAGTTGAATACATGGTCTAAGCAGAACCAAGAAGACAGAGTGGGACTTTCCTCAGACTTCTGAGGACAAAGGAGATGCTCTTTCCTATTGAATATGACTGGATATGAAGCTGGAACTCCTATGTTTATGGCCAGTTGAGGAAAAAAGCATGTCTGAAAACAGAACCAACTCTACAAAAGTAAAGTTGAACACTCCCAAGAGAGCAGCCTGGTTCTGGTGACGCTTTTGAGGAGCCAGATCAAGCCTCACGTGAAGGCAGTCTAATTCTGGATGTTTTTATCACATGAGCCAATAAAAACTACCTTTGCTAGTTTGGATGGAATTTCTGTCCTTTACATCTGGAGGAGTCCTGATTATGATGTAATACAGTGGGTTGAGTTATTTTATTTGGAAAGTGTGGCAATGGAAAGAAGAACTTGAGTCAACTAGTTATACAAATCTACCTCCCCTCAAGACTGTGAGTGCCCTGAGGTCTGGAATTGTGTGTTATTTCTTGTGGTAATGACAACAGGTACTCCAGGATAGTTTTAGAAATAAAGGGGAAGGCAGAAAAGGAGATGAGAAATGTACAGATTCCTCCCAATGGGGCAGGTACCCTGGATCTCCTGGTCACTTTTTTCAGGGCAGACTAGACCCTGCCAGGGACCAGCAGACGTCATGAAGCAAGAAATCAGGGCATAGAAGCTTCTAGCACCAGGTTCCCCCAAAGGGCTCCTCTAGGAAATTGCCTAGAAATGATGGTGCAGCCATAACCAGGTCATTACTTTTCCTACACATATTTCTCCCTTTTGTAAGCAACAAGAACCCATTCAGCCAACTCTGTGGTGCCTCAGCTGAAATAACAGACGAAAGGGAATGTGTAATTGGCTTTCATCAGATTGAAACCAGAGAGAAGCCCGGCTGAGCCGAAGCTCTGTTTATAGCATAGCACAGAAATTATTTACTGCTTAATGTCAGGCCATGTGTGAGGAAGAAGGGGAAACAAGGAGGACAGGAAGGAAGACCAGCCTTCCAGCCAGCTTCAGTCCCTCTGGCAAGGCTACTCAGCCCAGTGCTTTGTCTGAGGAGCCAAAAGAGACAGAAGGGGGTCTGGCCCCAGACTATTAGGGAAGAAGTTACCTGGGGCAGAGGAGAAACAGGAAGGGAGACAGAAAAGGGAACGGTTGGAAGGGGGTGGGGGGTGGGGGAAGTTAACCGTTAATGAAATAAGTCAACTTGCCAATAAAAATCAGTAGCCAGTTGATAGCTCCTGCCCGCTGCCCACCAAGAGTCTGCATGAAGACTTGGAAATAGCAACCAAAACATGAATCTCATCATACATAACATCAACTCATCATCAGGTATGTGCTTCTCGATTATAATTTAATAATTTCAAAGATTAGAATGAAAATGAAAACTTGAGATTTATCCAAAGGGACACAGAGTATTCTTCCAGGGACCTATGACTAATCTGTATTTTGGGGGTGAAGCTGCTGCTGCTGCGGAGTCGCTTCAGTCGTGTCCGACTCTGTGCCACCCCACAGACGGCAGCCCACCAGGCTCCACCATCCTTGGGATTCTCCAGGCAAGAACACTGGGGAGGGGTTTAAATTGACTCAAATCTTTGGGAAATTCGGTGGGTGATTTGGGAACTCCATGATTTTTCTCATCTATTTCCAGGAATTTTCTATCCGGGCTAGATTGTACCCCATTTACCTTCCCTTTTTACCCCTCAGTGAGCTGTGTATACTCCATCCAGGCCCTTCAGCTTTAGGGGAACATGTGAATTCCACAGAGAATGAGGGAGACAGGACTCAGGGTCCTCTGGGTGCTCTTCCCAAGGCCCCTAACAGCAATACTGTTGTGTGGTTCCCAGGGAGCTGCCCTGTTATGTGTCTCTCCAAGCAAACTGTCCTAGGATTCAACGGCCTATGGCCTTGGATTTTTCATTGCCATCCTATGTCAGGAGCCTATCTATGGATCTGGAGATCCAAAAACACCACATGGCCCTAGTTTCCTGGTCCTGGGGAAGGGCTGAGGCAGTGCCAGTAATGGAAAGAACGGTGAATCACATGGTGCTGGGCTCAGTCCACCTCTACCACCCACAGCTCCATGAGGCAATGGTGGAATGGAAACTGCTGGCATTGAAGACCAGAGGACCTACTATTTGGTCTCAGGCAAGCTCCTCAGTGACCCCTTTCTTAAACTACCTAAATCTCAGTGATCTCATCAATAAGTTATCATGATTTTTTTTTTAAGATTTGCTGGGAGGATGAAAAGAAATAATGTGCCTGGTGTGAAGTAGGCACTAAATAACCGGTTGATGTCATTATCATCATATTGTTATGTGACCTTTGGCAAGACACGTAACTTCCCTGAACTTGCTTTCTTTCTCTTTTTTAAGATGAATTTATTTTTGGTTGTGTCGGGTCTTAGTTGCAGCACACAGGCTTTTTTGTTGCGGTGCCCAGACTCCGTGGTTGTGACATGGGCTTAGTTGCCCCACGTCATGTGCGTGGGCTCTTGGTTCCCTGACCGGGGATCAAACCTGTGTCGGAAGGTGGATTCTTAACCACTGGACCACCAAGGAAGTGCCTGAACTTGCTTTCACGTGAAACATGAGAAGTAATAATAATTATCTCCTAAAATGGTCTCAAAGGAATAGATGGATTATATATGTAAGGATTACTTTATATTACATGTAATATATGTGAAGCACCTGGTACAGTGCCTGGTACATAGGAGACCCAGAATATTAGATTCTTTTTCTTTCCCAACCTCCCCCTGTGAAGTCCAAGGTAAGAGTTTCCTGGCTCTCGCACAGTCAAGCTGGCCCCAACACTTAGCTAAAAACCAGAAGAATCTGCCCCTGAAGGGGGTTTTTCCCGACTGCTGGCCCTTGGAGCCCCCCACCTGCTGCGCTCTCAGCCCACGCCCTTGGAAGGAAAAACCGTCAAGGGAGGCGCTCCGCGGAGTGCGCGCGGACGGCCGAGAGGGAAGCCGACAACTGCAGGACTCGTCGCCCAGCACTAGGGAGCGCAATAAGATCGAGAAGACAGTGAGGGCCACGCCCGGAAACTTCTCCGCTTCTCCTGCGCTCTAGTGGGTCGGGCGATCCTAGGTGGAAGGCAACCCTAAGGACTACTCAGAAAGGCCTTTGTGGGAACAAGTAATGGGAGAAAACGTAGGGAGTCGTGAAGACAGCACACCAGCCTTCCCACTTAAGCCTGGTCCCGGCAGAAAGAGCTCTCTCAGGCTTCTATTCTGCAACCTCAGGATCCCCTCCTGGAGAAGCCAGATGGGGGCTCATAAGGAACCAGCAGGTAGGAAGAGACATGCCAGGTCACTTTTCCCAGTCACTCCAACTTTCACATCTAGCTCACCCAGCATCTTAGTAAGTCTCAGTGGGTCACAGCTAGAAGGAGACTTATAGAGCCCCAGATGGTCAACCAACCCTTAGATGTTCAGCTGCAGGGCTTGGGGCCCAGAGAGGAGAAAGAGCTTGAGCAAGATCTCCAAATAGTTTACCATCCCTCATAGAATTTACCAAATACTTTCATGCCCATCATCTCACTTGGATAGTCACAACCACTTGAAGGAACTATGATTCCATTTAAGAAATGAGGAAACTAAGGCTCAGGTAAGTGCCAATATCTTGCCTCTTCCCTACTAAGTTTTCACTTGCCACCCACTGTTCTCTTCTCTCTTGCCTTCCCCAGAAGATTGCTGTTCAGCTCCAAGTATTCCAAAAATCAAATTTTAAAATATTCATTGCATTCCCTGTCTTCCTAACCCATCTAGTATGACGGAGAGATGATAGAGCATAGTAATTATGAGGGTGGACTTAGGAGTCAGGTCTGAGTAAATATTCCATGTTCATCTCTTATGAATTCCATGACCATGGACCTCTTTGTGCCTCAATTTCCTTATCTGTAAAATAGGAATATTCACATCTCGTTCCTGGAATTCTTTTAAGGGTTAAATGAGATGTACTCTGAAGCAATTTCATAGTGCCTGCCATATAGTTAAAGGCTTGAGAAATGCTTCTGGCATATATAATTATCATATAATTATAGAACTGAAAGATCTTTAGGAATTAGATCGCTAATTTCATGCTATTACCAGTGAAGCTAAATGGAGTTAAGTGGGGGGTGTTACTTTGTGAAGTAGTTTTGCATACAGGTTTGAATGTTTCCCATCCCTGCCCCCTCAAATCCTCAGAATGTGAACTTTCTTTGAAATGAGATATTTGCAGATATAATGAGGTAAGATGAGGTTAGGATCCTAGATTAGGATGAGTTCTAAATTCAGTATGACCGTTATCCTTAGAAGAGGAGAAGACATATAGAGACATTAAGTCACGGAGGGGAAAATGCCATGTGAAGATAGAGGCAGAGAATAACGCGATTCAGCTACAAGCGAAGGATTGCCAGGAACCCTCATAAGCTAGGAGAGCAGTGTGACCCTCCATAAGCCCACTCCCACCAACACCCCTCACCAAGGAACCAACCTTGTCAAAACCTTAATTTCAGACTCCTAGCCTCCTGACTGAGAGAGAATACATCTCTGTTATTTTAAATCACCCTGTTTACAGGTCAGTTTGTTACAGCAGCCCTAAGAAACTACAGTTTGTGACGGAGAACTCCAGCAGAAGTCACAAATTTTTCTTTTAAATTTCCAGTTTCGCCCTCTTTTACTCTATCATTGCCTCCCCCAAACCAGCAATAAACATTCATAGTACACCTACCTAGGAGGTTTACTCATTTGGAGAAAAATTAACACACACTATAATCTTTAGTGCTTCTTACTAAATTGTTACCTGACACAGAGTAGGCTTTTAATAAATACTACTGGCAAGTTGATACAATAATAGATATAAAAATGGTATGTTGTGTTATGCAACTTTAGGAAATTATTACAAACCCACTTTCTACCTCTTTGTACACCTGTGTGCCTGACTCTAAATTTATTTACACATTTTATCCAGTTGAAGAATCACTGAACTTCAAATTCACAGGCTCCGGCCATGCACTAGCTCCAGGGGTGATGAATTAAAAGGATAATAATCTGAATACCCTCAGGACTCAATCCTACAAGGCAGGGATGATCTCATTCTTGCTGGGTCCTCCCACACTCAGAGGAAAGTCAGCAGGAGCTCAGAAAATCTGGGGAGCCGCCAGTTGCTATGAAGGAAGTAGGTGCCAGGTCAGCCTGGGAGTAGAATGGGTAGTGGTGGGTTAACAAAGGGAAGGAGGGGAGGAGGGGCGAGCTGATTCACTGAGACAACTCTTAGAGTGACTCAGAAGCCAGCAGAAAATAGCCTGTTCTCCTACATCTGCCTCACTGTCGGGCAATGAGGCACTTCCTCATTGCACACCCATAAGGCAGGGCAAAAGGGCGGAGGAGGAAATGGAATTTTTCAAATTCGTGGACCTAGTCCAGCACTTAAACTCTGTGTTTTTAACCATTCCAGACTTTTTTTTCAAGTGAAGTCAGTATTTGTTGAACACCTACTATGTCCCTGGCCCTTCATCTTGCCTTTCAGGACACAGGAAATGATGTCTTTCTCAAGTTCTGTATTTCCTATTTGTTACTTCAGAAGCACCTGAGCTGCTGTTGAGCCCTTCGGTACAGTTCTCTGGTCCTTCATATATACGTACAGAGGACATTCTCAAGCCAGCAGTCAATAGAGGGAGACATGGAGCCCATTTCTGTTTCTAATGCTGGTTTGAAATCATCCAGACCCACTCTGAACCGGCCCTCCTCTTGAGAGCCGAGCGCATAGGGAGCAGAATATAGCACAGAGTTGGAATCCACATCCTTGTCGGAAGTTCTTTGTTTTCCATTTACTCGTTCTATGGCTTTACTTGATTTTTCTGAATTTCTCTCTTCTCTGTAAATAGGCACCAATGGTCTATCTTACAGGTTAGGGAAGATTTTACATTTGGTATGTATGTGTGCGTGCCTGCTCAGTTGTGTTCGACTCTTTGCAACCTCATGGACTGTAGCCCACCAGGCTTCTCTGTCCATGAAATTCTCCAGGCAAGAATACTGGAGTGGGTAGTTGTTCCCTTCTCTGGGGGATCTTCCCGACCCAGGAATCAAATTCATGTCTCCTGTGTGAAGATTAAATATCATTATATGGAAATAACTTGCAGGAATGGCAACCTAGACATCTTATTAAAAAACAGAGACATCACTTTCCCAACAAAGGTCCATCTAGTCAAAGCTATGTTTTTTTCCAGTAGTCATGTATGGATGTGAGAGTTGGACTATAAAGAAAGCTGAGCGCCAAAGAATTGATGCTTTTGAACTGTGGTGTTGGAGAAGACTCTTGAGAGTCCCTTGGATTGCAAGAAGATCAAACCTGTCCATCCTAAAGGAAATCAGTCCTGAATATTCATTGGCAGGACTGATGCTGAAGCTGAAACTCCAATAACTTGGGCCACCTGATGCAAAGAACTGACTCATTTGAAAAGACCCTGATGCTGGGAAAGAGTGAAGGCTGGGAAAGGGGACGACAGAAGATGAGATGGTTGGATGGCATCACCAACTCGATGGACATGTGTTTGAGAAGCTCCAGGAGTTGGTGATGGGCAGGGAAGCCTGGCATGCTGCAGTCCATGGGGTCACAAAGAGTGGGACACAACTGAGTGACTGAACTGAATGGCATTAATAGGGCTTCCCAGGTGGCTCAGTGGTAAAGAATCCACCTGCCAATGCAAGAGACATGGGTTTGATCATTGAGTCGGGAAGATCCCCTGGAGGAGGAAATGGCAACCCAATCAAGAATTCTTGCCCAGAAAATCCCATGGACAAAGGAGCCTGGTGGGCTACAATCCATGCAGTTGGAAAAGCGTCAGAGCTGACTGAGCACTTACACAACAAAATGACATTAACACTAGTTTACTTCTTTCGAACTTCCCTATGTTTGCAGACTGACTACATCCCTCCACCTGGCTGCAAACGGCATGAGGACAGAGCTGGATCTGTCTTGAGACAGTCTGCCTAGGTGAGTAGGAGCCCCCAGTACTGCCTTGCTTAATAATAATTGTTAATATTAGAAATAATATATTGAAATTAATTCATATTATGTATTATAAACAATTGTAAGCATGTATTATATTTTATTTAAAACAGTGTGATTATTGTTCCTTTAACCAGTTGAACTGGAACATGTGAACTGGGAAAAGATATCCAGAAACTTTGACCTCAGGAAGGGATATGCCCTCTCCCTTCTCTGGGTTATTTGGTGCTGGAGGGCTTGCTGCGGGGCTTCCCAGGTGGCTCAGCGGTAAAGAATCCACCTGCACTGCAGGAGATGCGGGTTCCATCTCTGGATCAGGAAGATGCCTTGGAGAAGGAAATGGCAACCCACTCCAGCATTCTTGCCTGGAAAAGTCCCTGGACAAAAAAGCCTGGCGGGCCCATTGAGTCGCAGAAGAGTCGGACATGACTTAGCGACTAACAAGGGCTTGCTGCCGCCAGCGAGATCTGCATTCCTGTGTTCACGAGGTACAGACATTCCTTGCATCCTCCACTGTCCTTTGTCCCAGCGGTGCTGCGACAGCTCCAGTACAATGGGGCCAAAGACACAAAACTTCTCATTTGGAAAACAGCGTAAAAGACATTGACACACAGAGATTTTATTCATTCGATTTCTACCTGGGAAGGAAGTCGGGTTGGAAAGCTAGACGGAGTCCCCACTCCAGGGGTTCCAGGGACTCCAGAAGCTACCATTCTCTTCCAAATATAATGTGAAAAGAGGGGTCTCTGGGTTTTTCATCTTTGCTCCCTTGTCTCTAGCATACGCTTGGTCCCCCGCCCCCGCCCCCGCCAAAAAAAAAAAAGGAGGGGCGGGAAGCAGGCAAGCCACGTTACCAGGTTTTCGACAACAGGTTTTCTAAACACCAGAGCGCACTTCATTTATTAACATTTTGGATGAGACGTTAATGCGCCCAATCAGTCAGGACCCCCGAAACCCATTCCTGAGCTTGCAGTACCACGAGGGTACACACGAAGCACTCGCCACCATCTGGTCCAGAAAGCCCATAGAAGGTGGAAAGTTGCAGAATCCGGGCCCGGAGGGGCGCAAGCCCACCCCCGAGCCCGGGCAGAACTGCGTTTCCTCCCGGAAGTGACGCGAGCTCAATCCCAGCTTGGCTCTCCCCAAACAAAAGGGATCTTGGGGCCCCGGGAGGAGCCTAAATGACATTGGAGAAGCCCCTCCTCCAGCCGGCGCGGATTGGTGGCTGGCCTGGAGAGGCGAGGAGGCCATTGGCTCTGCCGAATGCCAGTGCCCCCGCCTGGCTGTTGAGGGGCGGGGCCTCGAGGGGCTGTGGATGGAGAGGGTGGCGGAGGCGGCAGGGAGAGGAACCTTGAGCGCCGGGAAAAGGTAGGAGCCGTTGGCGCCGGGGCTTGACGGCGAATGGGAGGCCAGGTTCTCGAAAGAAAAACAGGGGTAGAACCACCGGTGTCCTCCCGCCACCGTCCCAACTGCCACTCGCGCCCATCCCCTGAGGGGGCGGGGCCGTCTCTTCTACCTCCCGGTATTCCCTGAGGAGGCGGCTCCTCATCCTTCGAGGGTGCTCGCAGCTACTTATTGTCCCCCGTCAAGCCCAGCTTCCCAGAAGGGGCCGATTTCCTGATGCCCCTCATTTAAAAGGTCCCTCACCTAGCCCCTCAACCTTGCGAGAAGGCGTACAGGCTCCCATTCTTTAGACTGCTGCCCCCACCCCCATTTTGTACCCCTAGGAGGCCAGACATCTCTTCCAACACCTGTCCTTGCTCGCAAGGGAGGGACCAGAGATAATTTCACCCATAAGATAAAAATCAGTGTTTTCAAAAATAAGAGAGATGGGACGATGCAAAAATCAAAGACCCAACCTAGACAGCCAGCTCTACGGACGATTCGAATCGGCCTTCCCCAACTCGGGTTCCTCCCATCCCCCACTCTGTGACCCTGAGCCTTCCCTGGATGCTCCGTTCCCCTCGAGCTGGGGGGCGGGGGGGGCCAATGTCGAGAGTTCCCTGCTTCGGAAATTTTTGACTCTGGAGGCGGAGAAACAGTAACCTTCCCCACCTCGCTTTGTACCTTTATTCTTTGAAGGAGAACCCAACCTCTAAGGATTTTTTTTTTTTTTTAAGGTTTGAGTTGCGTTTCATTTTTGCTTTCCATCCTATTTCTTCCTGAAAATTTGATGAAAAATCCCCTTTTAGAATTTCACAGTGAATTGAGCGTGTTGTATATCTACAGAGTTGTCGTTGTAGGAATGCAGTGTGTATTGTTGGACTGTCTATAACAGCATGCTCTCAAGTGAAGCAGTACAGATAACTAAATAAAGAGCTTTAGATTAGGAATGAGTGACTTCCAGTCTGGGTGGGCTGGTCTGTTGCTCAGGGAGACTGCAGTTAACCTTGAAGGTGTAGTTCTGTTGAAACAAAAGGCAGGAAGTGTTTGAAGAAAATTCAGGTTCAGTGGTCTAGGTTTATGATTAATCTGGTCAGGTAGCCTTTGGTTACTCTCTAGCCCCTATTTTATGGTGGGTTTTTTCCTCCAGGAGAAACTGATGTGTATATATATGTAGATAGATAGATGATGTTGATTGGCTCTACAAGACCGGTATCATCTACCAAAATTCAGGAGATAAAAATTAAAAGCACATTTTAAATTTCAGAGACAAGGATTAATAAAAGCAAAGTAAACTCTAGCTATTCAGACACATGTGACTACCAAGGAGAGTCTCTATAGGGTGCTCATAAAGACCTTCATTTCAGCAGGTGCAAAATGTTGATAATTTTGTCCTAATGTTAATGCCATTGACTCCCCATTAATCATCTATTGCTAGCACTTTTTTCTTCATTTATTTTTATTAGTTGGAGGCTAATTACTTTACAATATTGTAGTGGTTTTTGTCATACATTGACATGAATCAGCCATGGATTTACATGTATTCCCCATCCCGTCATTTATCCATTCATGCGCGTCACTAATTAGATGACGAGGCATTTGGCTACCTTAAGAGAGTCATAGTTACTCCCGCCGTTTACCCGCGCTTCATTGAATTTCTTCACTTTGCCATTCAGAGCACTGGGCAAAAATCACATCTCATCAACACCCGCCGCGGGCCTTCGCATAGCACTTTCATACCTTAAAATCTGCCATATTTTTTAGCGTTGTTTCTTTTGCTTTCAATCCAAAGTCTGTCTTACTACTGTTTTCTGTACTCAAAGATAGTAACAATGGGATTGGAGGAGTTGGAATCATAGGTGCAATCATAAGGGCTGTCTTTTACTTTCCTGATAAGCGTCTCTGAAGGTAGACGTCATGAAGGTAATTAATTTTGAATAGTTAGGTTGGAAATTTTCAGAGCCAGTCTCCCTCTGCAGAGATGCACTCAGTGATTGTTTCCAGATCTCTGATAAAAAGGCACAGAGAAGAAACTGGAGGGTCTCTCCAGCAAACACGAAGCATACTGCCATAGGTTGGGAAGGGCCCCCCAGCAATAGCAGCAGAAAAAAACTAAGAGCAGAACAGGAAATCCCCCAAAGATATATCTTATTATATGAAGAGAGAAAAGAAAATAAACCAACGTAAGACACTAAGGAAAACAAAGTTGTGGTGACTGCCAAGGCCTTTATGAGCAGAAAGGAAAAAGCAAATAATGCTCTTTGATTCCTTGGCACAATAAGCGAGATTTGTTTGATACACATTTGAATCTTAGAAATCTTTAACTTTTTCAACACCTTCTTAGTAGTGTTAGATGAAGAAAAGCATCGTATGCAGAGATTTTTTAATGTACGTGTAGTCTATCTCATTAAATTATAAAATCTTCAGGAGGTATTAGTATGTTTTGTTTCAGCTTTATACCTTTCACAGTGCCTAATATATAGTTTTGGAGAAAGAAATGGCAACCCACTCCAGTATTCTTCCTTGGAGAATCCCATGGAGGGAGGAGCCTGGTAGGCTACAGCCCACCAGTCTGTAGAGTCAGACACAACTGAGCTACTTCACTAGTATATAGTTTGACTTAATGAGTGTTGAACTTCATTTGAAGCTGACACCTTCGGGTAGACTAGAAAGATAATTTACTGATAAGATGTGGCATATCTTGTTGGTATAAACAGTCCATTTCTTTTTGCCTTGATTTATTTTCCCGATCTGATGTCTTTTGGTGCTCCAGTATCTTCAATGACTCTAAAATACTGAATTTTATATTAGAAGATGTCTGCTGGTTAGATGTATAATTTTGCAGTAATGAGTGAAATTTGAACCAGACTTATGAATGTAATCAGTTCTAGTCTTTTTAGGATTTTATTTTTCTAAAAATCTGACCTGAGAGGAATGAAGTGAATTTAGGAGAACACACTAGGAGCTGTTTTTTCTTTTAAAATGGTTTCTGAGAGTTTGGTTTTGGCAAATTTCTGAGCTACTTTGGGATTTTTTTTAAAAAATGAGTTTCTAATTTACTTTATACTTTTCTAAACTAGGACCAAGTACATGATCAAGGATACACACTGTACTGGGTCCCTGAATGGGTCATACAGACTGACTATGGTGGGCATAATGCACTCAGTCTACAGTGGATTTGTGTCTTGGCAGAATCAGGTTTCCAGTACTACCAGTTAATCTGCAGAACAAGATTAGAATTCTTGACTTTTCTGAGTGGAGCAGAATGGTGTTTCTTGGGTGTTTTTAGTGACATGGTGTTTCATTTTTTATGTGAATTAAATAATTTAATATTAAATATTCTTCTACACCTTTAGCAAATGCTAATTTGCTAAATTCTTCACACCAGTGAAGAATTCATGTCTGATTTTAGTTACTGGTTGGTTTAATTTTAAATATTTCAACATAGAGCTAAGATGCATAAGTAGGGGAAAACAAAGTTTGTACATGTTATGATCTCAGATACCTGATACAAGGATTTTTAGGCCACTGAATTGGTGTTTAGTGGCATGATACAAGAAGCTGAGATATTTTTAGAGGAAGTTTGTCCAGTCTGTGGTGGT